GCCTTGGGATTCCCCCAGATGAGCTGGTCCAAGTGTTTGAAGAGAGGGAAGTCTGGGTCTCTCTGCTTAGGCTGCTCCCCCCGTGACCCGACCGGAAGTGGAAGAAAACGGACGGACGGACATTACCCAGAACAAACATAAGCTTCTGTTAAAAGTGTGCCATATACTGTATGTAACTAAGACCTCAACCTCATGAGTCCTGATTCAGTGAAAAGATTTGAATCTAATTTTCAGTCATTTCTGGGTGTTTACGTGGGAAAATGGCAACTGTTCACAAATTTTGCTTACAAACCTTTAATTAAAGCAAGTATAAACCATCAGTGAAAGAAAAAAAAAAGCTCTTTTGTGAATTTCTTCTTCATGACAGCAACGAGTGCCTTTATGTATTTAAATACTCAAAATATTTATACTGAAAAATGTGACCTTTACTAAATAGTTGCTGAAACATGGTTTCGTTTTGAAGCAAAAAAGTCTAAACTTTCTGAAGCTTCACTTTAAAAGGAGAGCTGCATCCCTCTGGGACTATAAACTCAAACATGTTTAAATCCCAGCCGCAGAGTCTCTTGGTGATCTGGATGGTTTTTGACGCTGAGAAGTGTTCTGATAACGCAGCTCTGACGCTGCTGAGAGGCCTGTGGGAGGATGTCTGTCTGCTCAGAAAGAGCAAGAAGCAACAAATCCTTATTTGGCGTGAGAGGGACAGGCACTAAGTTTGGAAGCGATCATTTCAGRCAAACATTCAGCTTAAACTTGAACCCTTTCCTTCAGTGTCATTCGGTGCTGCTTTTAGACAAGTKCAGGGGGGCTACTCTTTAACGTCACCACAGAAACCGGAGGATAAATGCTTGCAGTTCGGTGTGATTGAGGATGTGCACCTCTGAGACTCTGCGTTTAACTGACTGGAAGTAATCTAAAGTGGGTGGCAGTGCAACGCCAATCATCCAACACATTTGGTGATTTGTTTTACAGCCAGGAAACTGTACGGAAATCACACGCAAGATGTGTCATGGACACACACTGAGCTCAAAGAAATGATAGGAGAGTACAAAAGTTATTGAAAGTGGAAAATATTCATTAAAAACACTGAAAATTTTTAAACTATTGGATTTAAAAAGTTGCACTGTCAGCAGMAGGTTCAGTCTCTATTGTTTAACAGGTGCTTTTTTTCAGGTGTAAGATATAACGTATATAACCTTAGATCAAAATGAAGTAAATTAATGTTTGGTGTATTGCTTTTTGTTGTAATAATTCTTCTTGGTAATAAATCTTGCATACCTATCGGCGGCACCTGGGAGGACAGAAGTTCAAAGCAAGTGTCAATAGAGACAGCAACATAAGTGCTTTGGTAACTCACACTCAGCTCTGTTCATCCCACTAATGCATGTTCCTTACAAAYGTGGCACCATTTAAAAGAGAAATTAATAGGCTTTTCAACGGTATAAGATTTATTGCCAAGAATCAAAGAAGTAATCTACCAAATAAAAATTTCCTTTGTGCTAAGCATTTGTGTACACCAACATAGGGTGAGTCAAAATTCAGAGGACACCGTTTTTCAAAGCAAAATGACCATTATTAACATTGTTAGTTTTTTATATCTGCTTTTAATAAAGTCAGCGCAGAAAGCCACAGAGTTTGGATACAATTTTGACTTTGTGTGTAGTGTGTGTAGTGTGTGTGTGTGTGTGTGTGTGTGTGTGTGTGTGTGTGTG